TCCTTTCCGCCCGACCCGTCGGGGCTTGTATTTTTTTTTTTTTTTTTTTAGAGTCGTATGACGGCCTGGTTGCACGTTTCTTTTTTTTTTTTGTTTCCTTTCTCCTTTTTTTTCTTGTGTCTCATGCAGGACAGCCTGCAGCGTACTAGTATACTAGTACAAGGCGCCTTGCTTTCGCCCCAAGTGGCTGGTGGTTGGTCGCCTTGGTGAGGGGACTACTTTCCAAGTTCTCTGCCTTGCATCATCCGATGCATGTACCGTACGTACCCGTACCGTATGTAGGTCTGTAGTATGTACGTATACCATCTGCTGTTCGCTCGTCCCGCGCGTTTTTTTTTGGGGGGGGGGGGAGGGGTGGGTGATCTCCCAAAATTCCCCTTCTCCTCCAAAAGATAAAACCAACAACCTCGGTTTTTTTTTTTTTTGGTTTGAAGCTTGTTATTATGCGCTTATTTTCTTCTTTTGTTTCTGTGTTTTTTTCTTCTTCTTCTCATAACTTTTCTTCTTCTAAACCCTCCTGCCCAGAGAATGTTGCCTCGCCCGGCAACAACTCGGTCTGGTCTGGTCGTGTCTGCCACATGAGCCTTGCCACAGGTGGTCTGGTGTTTCACAGGTCGCCTGGCCTTGCCGTACCCGTACCTTACCCGTGCTGGGTGGGGGTTCCACAGCTGGCCACGCCCCCCCACCCCCCACGTCCCACGCCCCACCCCCCACGCGCACGCCCCCTGCCCCTCTCGCTCGGGTTTGGCTTGCGTAGCCGCAGACTGCAGTGCGGACAGTCTGGAACTCTGCAGTCCCGGTGGCGGACCGGCGGTGCCCCCCAGGCGCTGCAGCGCACCCAGTAACCCCAAGGCTCCCGCTGAAGGCTGCTGAGGGGGGCCAGGAACCCGCCTGTGACTAACACCACCGGGTGCTGTAGGGTGCCGTCCACGCCCACACATGATACACTCAGGGCTGCTAGTAGGTGCAGTAGGGTGCCCAGAGTATACCTGGTACTGTAGGTACTGCCTGCACCTGCACTGTAGTGCCTGGGTACGTCGACCAAGTACCGTTTGCATGACCTTTCGCTTGGCTCCATGCTCCCGTTTCCAATAGTCTCTTCCGCTGCCCAGCCCGATCCAGCTGGCCAAGCACAGCACCCCGTCTCATCCACCCACCCGCCCGCCCGCCTGCCTGGACCTTTCCTCGCTCGCCCTCCTCTTGTCGACCCCGTCCATCGACCGTCACTCGTCACAGCCCAAGAGCTATCTCCTTCTCTTCTTCCTCCTTCTTCCTTCTCACACTTGTCCTGCGTGTACGGGCGTGCCTCTGTGTGCAAACCATTGGATAATCTCAACTGCTGCGTTGCCCTTGCACTCCCTCTCGACGTACCCAAACTGTGCTCATCCGACTCATTGCTGTCCCTTTGGGGACGCCGGCAGTGAATCCGCTCCTGTTTCCCTCTTGCCTGGCCGATCCCAGCATCACACAGCAGCCTACGACCACGCGACGACCAGAGACGATTCACCAAGACACAACAACTCATTCACACAACAAGGACAACAGCAACACCGGCAGCAACAGCAAAAAGACAGGAACCTGCCGCATGTGTCATGCCATGTGATTTGATTCTCTAGTCAGACACTCAAACCACTCTCGCTTTCATGATTGCATACTCGTCCTCCAACTACTCCTGCTCGATTGAACCGATTGCACGATAGACAAATCCAACCGCCCATTCGCCCAACCTCTCCTACGTCGAGACTCGAGGCTAACAATCGCTTTACAACCACGTTGAAGACAAAACTACTGTCGACAGCTTTTGAAAAAAGATAAATTACTTAGATTCGTTCTGTTGCTCAGCTGCAATGAACTCGCTCAAGGTTCCCGAAGGCGGGTTGCTGCTCTCCAGCCCCTCCAGCTCAGACTCGGACTTGCCTCCCCAAGCATTCGTTCTGAACCTGAGTGACGATGTCGTGGAGCAAATGATTAGGAGTGCTCGCATGGGAGACGGCTTGGAGCTACAACTGGGAAAGACGCCGGTACGTGTGTCCATTTGCAACCACAGTCACTTTTCCTCCTCCTCCTCCTCCTCCTCTTCTTCTTCGCCTTCTCTGTTTTCCCTCAAGTCGTGGGCCTGTGGCATGTGCCTCCTTTGAGTGGCACAGGACAGGCTGTGGAACCTGCTCCCGAGTGATGCACCCCTGAATGCCTTTGATGTTTTTACTGACAGCTACTCAGACTCTGCATTACGGTTCAAACTCGCATCGAATACCACGACCCGAGGAAGACGTCCCCTTTGACCTCTTTCTTACCAAGCCCTTTGAGTCGACCCGACGTGCGGAGCGCCTGCCACACGCCGGAAGTCTGTTCAGCAAACTCAAGCCAGCTCCGGCAGCGCCAAAGAAGACTGTTCAGGCGAGCACCGAGGACGAAACAAAGAAGAAGCCTGCCGCATCAAGCAAAGGCTCAACCCCGTCACCCGGGCTCGACTCGGATATCGAGGCCCTGCAGAATGGGCTCGCCGCCCACGACGCCGCTCGGGATCGGTAAGTTCACCACCATTGCAATGAATGCAACCTGGACAATGATCAGTGGTGCTCATCAGAATTTGCCAGCGCTCGTGTTGTCGGAAAGCTGCCTGTCGGCGGTAAAGGCAGGAACAAGCTGTTGTCCAACTATGCCTCCACCACGCCCAAGTCAATACCCACGTCGCCTGCCGTCAACGCCGTCCGCTCCCCAACTTCGACAACGCCCCAGATAACGGCAACACAACAGGTGATGGAGCGTAAGAAGGAACAGCGGTTCACGCTGGTCCATGAATTGGCCATCGCTGATCAGACGACGGAACACCTCAAGGGCAAATGGACGGGCAAGGAAGAAGACTTCAGACCCACACTGGAAAAGACGGCCCATTACAACAATGACTCGCATACATGGACCATGAAGCAGCCTTGCTGGAGAGAGCTCAACGTCTGGAAGTACAACTACGCCTCGCAAGACGAGAGACAAGCCGCCATCAACAGAGCCATTCCACAATACGACAAGCTGCGGCTTTCGGCTTCCGAAAACGAGTGGCAACTCCTGCTACCCAAGGCAGAGCGAGGAAAGGGCAAGTGCTTGAGTCGACTGCAAGCCAATATCGCCAAAGGACCGCCTCAGCAGGCACCCAAGATCAAGGTGCAGAAGACGACGGACGACAGCCATGGCCCCAAGGATGATGCCGACAGCCCCGAGAGTGACAAGCCAAGAACCGGCGGCGAGAGCATGTCGCGGTCCAACTCGAACTCCCTGCCAGGCAAGCCGAAGAAACCCACTGCTCAAGAGGCACAGGCCAAACGGCTACTGAGCAAGTCGAAATCGAAGACGAGCGCACCAAAGACGTCTCCCTCCAAGCCCAAGCCAGTCGGCAAGAATGACAAGTCTGACAAGAACGAAAAGAACGACAGACGTGTCCTCTCAGCAGCGATTGTCGAAAATTCCGACTCTTCTGAAGGCGAGGCCCCCGTGGTCAAGCCCAAACCAGGTCCTGCGAAACCAAAGGACACTGTTGTTGTCAATACCCGGCCCGTGGTGTCCCGACAAGCAGTCAAGAATACGGCCGTCAAGCGACCCCGAGAAGAATCCGACTCCAGCTCCAGCTCCGGGACGCCGTTGTCGAAACGCATCAAGCCCAGACAAACACTAGCCGCTCCGAAGCCCAGGATGCAAAGCACGAAGGCCAGCCATCAGAGTCAGGCTCGTGTGCCATACTCGACCTATCGAAACAAGAACGCGAGCAATACATCTCCAACAAAGTCGTCCCCGCTCGCGTCCTCACCACCCACCAATGCTTCAGACCTGGACGACGAGGCACCAGCTGTTCCGAAGAAGCGCAAACTGGACACGGAGAGCAAGCCCACGGCTTTCAAGCGCAGGGCTGTGGAAAGTGTGCCCGCCGATGTGCTGAGCAAGGCACACAAGTTCAAGACATTTTACCAAAAGTACGAGGCGCTGCATTATGAGATCTCGGCATTGGACAACCCACCCCGCGACAAGTTGGCCGATTTGCTGGAAATGCGAAGCCGATTAGAGCACATGAAGAAGGATATTTACAAGCAATGTTCGCCACGCAGAGACTAAAGAGATACCCTCAGAAAAAAGAGAAACGACAGAAAAAAAGATGAGCTACATTTTGGCAACATGTTTCGTTGATAATTTGTTTTCCCTTTTTCTTTCTTCCAACACACACACCCGGAGAGAGAGAAAAAGATGTTTTATGAAATTGCATGCCCGGTACAGGAAGGGAGCGATATTTGTTTCTAATTTTTTTTGTTTTCAAAGGTGTTTCCCGTTCTTTCCCATTATTTATCTTTTGCTTCAACTTGTGCAGTTTTTGGAGGGGAAACACCACGGCGTACAGGGCGACGGGAACGAACTTCTGGGCATCAAGCGTTGAAGACCAGGGAAAAGAACAAGATTCTGCATGAATAAAAGTGGACGGCTGAGGACGGCTGAAGATGACAAAGAAGCAGAGAAGCAAGGGACATACAGGAACCCATTTCTGGCTTCGCTGAGGGATGGGGTGGGCACGATTCTACGTGTGCATGCCGCGGCATGGGTTAGTTTTCAGTTTTGGATTTTGAGGATTTTTTGGTGTGTTTTGGTGTGTTTTTTGGGGGGTGTTTTTTTGGAGGGGGACTTGTTTGGTTTTTGTATCTTGATACCACGAGTCTGCTTACGCAACAGACCGACAATTTGAACAGGGACGCTGTTTTCTTTTTGAATGCTGAGTGGATGCTGAGAATGTGTCTTTCTGGCCAGGTGTGTTGTTGTTGTTGTCGTCGGTGTTGTATTTCAGATTCGTGAACAGGTTTCGGATGGCTACTCGAAACGGGACCTCTGTCTGATGTGTTGCGTTCCGAATCATCCCCCCACAACATGGAAATAAAACTGCTGCTTGACTTTCTGGCTCCGTGTGCCCCTCTTAGAGGTGTATTGTGCGTGACCCACAACAACGAGCGGCATCTGCCCGCTCGATTGGTGAGATGGCCGAGTTGGTTATGGCGTCAGGTTAAGGTTATACCTTGGCATACCAAGATTCCTGATGGAGAAATCCGCCTGGGTTCGAGTCCCAGTCTCATCATGACACTTCTTTTTGTACATGGCTGTGTGCGACCTACTTTGATGAGAGGGGCTTTAACTTCTTTTTTGTATGGTTTTTCTGTCCTTTCAGGTGTTGCAGCGTAGTTGCGGGATGGGATGATCGAGGCTTGTCATGCACAGTTGCCTCATTCATCACGTTTCGCACTTTCTTCATCCCCACTGCCTTACCCCATCCTGCATAGCCGGCCGCTCTCTGCAATACCAACCAACCCCTCGTCAAGTTGGTTCCCCGAATTCGGCATGGATGTCATTGTTTCATGTTCGTCCTCGTCGCGTTTCATTGACGTCCCACCACTGAACCTGTCCGCATGCGGTTTCTTCTTCTTCTTCTTCTTTTGCAACGCGGGGTGGTTCGGAACGAAAAAGAAAGAGAGAAAACGTTGCCCTCAAGTTCAGGGTAGCGCAGTGTGACGGGGGACAGAGTGTCGAGAGCGCATTAGCTGCTAGGTACCTCTCCAGCTCTCTCTCCAGCTCTCTCTGCACCTGGTCGCGCGTTTGCGGGACAATACCAAGCCAGATAACAATCAGATCGTGGATCGAAACCCCGTCCTGAGCCTGTCCCATGCCATGCCAGTCGTGGCTGAATCATCTCTGCCGGAGCAGACGGTAACAATCAACAATGCCGCTTTCTTCAACTTTCTTCACCAGGACAAGGGATGTGGGGGTTGTTTCGGGGGGGTTTCGTGGCGTAGAGCGGGGCGCGTGGCGCGTGGCGCGTGGCGCGTGGCACGGGACAGGAAACACTCACTGATTGGATTGGTTGGTGTTGGTTTCATTTTCATGCCCATTTTTCATCCCACTTTTCACGGCATCACGGAATCGCGGCGTCACGAAGCATCACGACATCACGAACATCACGCGCGAGCGGAGCCCCGGAGCGATGCATGCACCATGCCATGCATCCATGTACGCACACACGCCCGACACAAAACAACACAAACACAACTCAACTCGACTCAACCGCCCAAGCGGAACCAACCAAGGACGCATCCCCACCATTCCACCGTCCGGTCCTCATGCCGCGCGCACCTCCCGCCGACGACATCTCCCACCCCGCCTTCCGGGCCCTGGTGGCCGCGTATCCGTCCGCCCTGGCGGAAGCAGCTGTGTCGAGGAGCAAGAGCGGTGCGCGTCCCCGTCGTCATGCCCATCATGTCAGCAAGACAACAACAACCCAAGAAAGGA